CAAGAGTCTGTAAGGATTTTTGGAAATAACAGTTTATACTGGAAATTCCTACACTGATTTTTTTTTTGAATATTTAAATAGTGCATGGAAACATTTCCTGTTGATGAAGTGGGATGTAGCAGCCTAATCACCTTGCACTGCTCAGGGGGTTTATTCCTCTCAAGACAGAACAATCTGCTGTGTACATCTGAAAACTGAGATTTTCTTATGAAGTAATTCATATAAAGAAGCAGCAGTGCCTCTCAGTATGCCCCAAAGAAAAAGAACCTCGTGTTTGAACATCACTAAAAACAGAGGAGACACTCAGGTGCTTGACTGGTCAGTAGCTGGCAGATGGGGGGAAAGGGGATGTAATTTACTGCCAAGCTTTAGTCATTTAATAGAAAAAATCGTGATTTGGACTCATTTTAGTACCTTTGAACACATTTGCTTTTCCCGGTTCACAACTGCTCCTGGAATGAAAGGATTCCCGTCCCAGCCCTGCTTTGTCTGTACTGTCTATCACTCACAGCAGCACGAGACAACGCCAAAATGGCTCGGCCACAACAAAACATGGCTCTCTCCACAAAGCACGGGCAGCTCTGGAATTCCCCTCCCTCTCTGGGACACACCAGCACCCACACCGAGCCAGGGCTTCCCTGCCGGGGGAGCAACATCCACACCATCAGGGGGATGAGGAGCAGCACGCCGGGCTCCGAGAGCCCCGGGGAGCCGGGCTGTGCCAGCTCAGCCGGGAGAGCAGATCCTGCCTCCGGGCTCAGCTAAAACCGCTGGAAAACCAGCCCAGGAGGGGGTGTGAACCCCCAGAGCAGGGGGTGCGAACCCCCACAGCAGGGGGTGCGAACCCCCACAGCAGGGAGCGTGAAGAGCACACAGAGCAGGGACAGCACACCCCGGACACAAAGGTGGCTCCCCTGCTGCGGGGTGGGGAGGGCATTTCCGAACCCCCAGAGCAGGGGTGTGAACCCCCAGAGCAGGGGGTGTGAAGAGCACACAGAGCAGGGGCAGCACACCCCGGACACAAAGGTGGCTCCCCTGCTGCGGGGTGGGGAGGGCATTTCCCACGCTGAAGACCCAAGCGAGGGGGTGCCTGCATTCCATGGGGGGTGCTGATCCAAAGGGGGAGCACACAAAGCGTGCTATGGAGAGGGGCACGACCCAGAGGTGATCCCCATTTCACACCGGGATGGGGTGTGGGGGGAGCCAAAACGCAAAGGTGATCCCCATCTCACAATGGGATGGGGTATGGGGGGCAACCACGTGATCCCCATTTCACACCGGGATGGGGTGTGGGGGGAACCAAAACCCAAAGTCGGGGTTCACACAGGAGAAGGGCTGTGAGCCAAAGGGGGAGCATCCCTCTCACACCGGAGGGAAGGATACACAACCCAAAAGTGGGGGACATGAACCAAAACAGGGCCCACATCCCCCACACTTGGGGATACACCACCCAAGGTGGGAGAGCCTACACTGGGAAGCATGATCCAAAACGGGGTCCACACTCACACGGGGGGGCTGTGGCCTAAAGGGGGGGCTCACACATGCGGTGGGGGGCCTAGACCCCCAAAGGAGGGGTGCACGGCCCCCAAAGGGCCCGGTCCCCACGGCCCCCCCCCCGCTCACGGGAGGGGGCGCGCCCGCCAGGCCACGCCCCCCGCCCGAAGGGGCGTGGCCCGAGCGCCTCGCGCAGCGGGGCTCCCCGGGGAGGGGGCGTGGCCTCGGCCGAGGGGGGCGTGCCCACGGGGGCCACCGGCGGGGGCGTGGCTCCCCTCCCCCTCACCGAGCGCAGGGGTTGCGGTGGGGGGGGCGTGAAGGGAAAAAGCGGGCGCGTCCCCCGCAACATGGCCGCGGCCTTTCCCACATGCGCCACATGGCGCTCGCTCCGCCCGCCCTCCCGCGCCCCACCGCGCCCGCGCTCGGCGGCGGGAAGCGGAGCCGCCGCTGCCCGCTGAGCCCGGCGGGGCTGGCGGCACCTACCCGAAGCCATGGCGGCGGCGCTGAGGGGCGGAGGGAGCGGAAGGAGCGCAGGCACCGACCCGCCCGCCGCGCCGGCCGCGCGCACACTGAGGCACCCGCAGCTCGCGCGGACTGCGGGGCCGGGCGGCCAATCAGAGCGCGCGGCGCCTACCACTCGCTGGGGAAGCGGGGGGGGAGGGGAGGTGAGCTGGGCCGTACCAAGGTACAGCGGGCGGGGGGGGGTTGTGCTGAGGGGAGAGGGTGCGAGGCTGTGCGGGCGCAGCGTCAAAGGATTAAATTAATTAAATTAATTAAATGAAGAAACGCTCAGGGCATGGTCAGGGTGCGCAGAGGGAAACTGGGGGTTTGCACGCCCGGCTTTCCGCACCAGCAGCCCCCCTATTTCCCCCGGTACCCCACTTGTGCATCACCGTTTGTAGCAGATGCTGAATGGGGTTAGAGAAAACATCCAAAATCTGGGTCCTAAAGGAAAAGTAAGAAAGGTTTGCCAGCTTTTCTGAGTATCCTAAAAAGCCAAATATCAACTTGTAGAATGGTTTTCCAAAGAAAGTGACGGGTCATGATATTGGGAGCCACTTCTGTGAAACGTGAGGGCTCGCTTCAGACAGGAAGAGTGATTAAATGAGAAGACAGCAAAAATAAGATTGATTATCTAATCTGATTATTTTTAGAAGTTGTATTGTTTCACATCAAACTACGTTCTTGTGAGAGTTGGTAAGTTAACAGTTGCACCTTTCTTTCTAGGGACAGTCTGCACATGCACCCAGAGAACAGTCAGCGGGCGCCCTGGTTGGTTTTGTTTTGGTTTGGTTTGTTTTGGTTTGTTTTGGTTTTTTTTTTTTTTTTTGTTTTTTTTTTTGGGGGTTTTTTTGTTTTTTTTTTTCATTTTAAAGGCAGTGCGGAGCTTTCTCTGATTTCAGCTGAAGGGTTTGAGCAGATTTGCAGAGAAGTTGGGCTGTTTCTTTCCCCCCTGGGCGTAGCAGCAGGAGGCAAATCCCACTGCCACAGCCGAAAATAAGTTTCTGCAAAACAAGCAGTGACTGGAATAATTAATTAAAGAAAAAAAAAAAAAAAAAGGGGGTTGAGCTCCCTGCCTGTCTTTTGGCTTCTCCTTGAGAAACTTCATCTGCTCCAGCCATGATGTCTTCTACTGCTCCCTGAGCCTTTCTGTGGCAGCCTGGCACCTCACAAAGGTGCCCATGCCATGTTGGGGTTAGGGCAGATCCCAAAGGATGCTCCCAGCCAGGGCTCAGGCTCTCAGTAGAGCCTCTGGGTGGTTGTGCACTCCTCAGGGGCTGAAGGCTTCTCAGAGGTGGGAAATGGAATTAATTCAGAGAGACTTTCAGGCTTATGTGTCTGCCTGCCTGCTGATCTGTGCTGTGGTCCCAACCAAAACTTTGAGGCTGAGATGTGGGGAAAACATCAGCCCTTCAACCCTCAGCTGGAAATGACCCCAGCTGCTTCAAATCCTCCTCCACGTTGCGAAATCAGAGGTGGTGTGGGAAGGTGGCTTTGTTCTGATCCTTCCAGTCCGAGCCCTTCTGGGTTCTGTGAACCAGCAGCCACACTGCGTGGGCACACAGCAGAGCTCACAGGGCACTCAGGGTGAGAAGTGACCCCTGCAATCTCCCAGTCCAACCCCGGGCCAAGGCAGGGCCACCTGGAGCAGGTGACACAGGAACACGTCCAGGTGGGAGGTACAGTTGTCTCCTTTTGTGCAAATATTCTCATTTCCTGCTGCAATATCCACAGCCACATCCCCAGCTACAAGCTCAAGAGGAGGTGCAGTTGTGGGTAGTGCTGACTGTGTGTAAAGCCAGCTAATGGTCATGATCACGGGGAAGCTCTACCCCAAGGGAATCAGATTAAGTTCTGCCTGCTTCATTGTGTTTGGAGGTTTTTATCACAAACAGACAGCACTGCTGGGGTACACTCCTCGAGCTTTTATTGCAGCATCAGTCTCACTGCATGACTGAGGCAGCAGAAAGATGGAAAAAACCTCACGTACAACCAGCAGCAGCCAAAGTTACCTTTACTATTTCCCACATTTCATCATCTCCTTATGTCCACAAGACCTGCAAGAAATTTGGTATCTTCATTTTTGAGCTGCTGATTCCTGTCCTAGATCTGACTAGAGCTGGCCAAAGGATGAAGCCAACATTCTGGGGAATTGGAGGCAGGCAACACAAACCCCCCTCAGGGTTTGCCATGAGCATGGCAGCAGCAGCTGTGCTGTGGACGTTCCTCTCCACCTGAAGGGAAACTCCCAGCCTTGTGTCCAGTGTCCAGTTCTGGGCCTCTCAGTTCAGGAAGGACATTGAGGGGCTGCAGCAGGGAAGGGAGCAGAGCTGAGGAGCACCAGGAATGGCTGAAGGAGCTGGGAGGGCTCAGCCTGGAGAGGAGGAGGCTCACAAGGGACCTCCTTGTGCTCTGCAATTGTCTCACAGGAGGCTGCAGCCAGGTGGGGGCTGGGCTCTGCTCCAAGGGACAGCGTGAGAGGATTTAGTCATAAACTGCATCCCAGCAGAGTCAGGCTGAACATGAGGAGGAATTCCTTCATAGAAAGGGTGATTAGGCAGTGGAAGTGGTGGAGTCCCCGTGCCTGGAGGTGTTGACATTAACACCGAATGTGGCACACAGGGCTCTGGGCCAGCTGACGCGGTGGTGTTCATCGGTCACGGGTTGGACTCCATGACCCCAGAGATCTCTTCCAGGCTGATGGGTTCTCTGCCTCCCAGCGGCCAGACCCCGCGGCTCGGGGGGCCTGGAGGGGCCTCCACACCCTGGGGCGGCCGTGTGGGAACACCCCGCCATACCCCAGCCCTGGGCGGGCTCCCAGAGAGACCTCACACCTCTCCCTGCGATAGTTCCCCTTCTGAACAGGGAAAAGATAACCATAATTAAATAAAAACTCAAAAGGGGGGGGTGGAGAGAGAGAGAGAACAAGCAAGACCCCCCGTCTCCATGGCAACGACCCCACGGCGCCTCCCGTTGCCATGGCAACGGGCAGGCCTTCCGGCGGCGCCCGGAAGAGGCGGGCGCGCGGGGCAGCAATGGCGGCGCCCTGGGCCCCGCCGGCCGCCGCCGCCCTCACGGTGCTGCTGTCGGTCGGTGCCTCCGCGCCCGGGCTGCTGCGGGGCGTCCCCGCCGCCCGCTCCGCCGCCGCGCTGCGCCCCGCAGCCCTGCACGACGGGGAAGGTGAGCGGGGCCGCCGGCGGGCGCAGCCGCTGCCTCCTTGGCCGCTCTGCCCGCCCCATTCCGCGCCCGCTCCAAACCCCAGCGGAGCCTTGGTGCCCCCTCTCTCTGTCCCTTCCCCAAGCCCCAGCGGAGCCTTGGTGCCCCCTCTCTCTGTCCCTTCCCCAAGCCCCAGCGGAGCCTTGGTGCCCCCTCTCTCTGTCCCTTCTCCTTGTCCTGCCCTGGAGCCCGTGGTGCCCCCCCAGCCCCCATTCTGTGCATTTCCTCAAGCCCGTCTCCCAGCCCGCTGCTCTCCCCGTCCCGTCCGCGCCCCGTGTCTCTTTTCGTGTCTCTTTTCGTGTCTCGTCTCTTCCCGCTCTCCCCTGACCCGCACCGAGCCTGCCGGGCACCCACCTCAGTCCCTCGGTGTCAGGCTGCCCCCCTGCCCCCTCATCCCTGTGCTGTGACAGTCAGCACAGGGGATAACACCGCTGGGAGCTTGAGGGATTGCATTTCTCAGTCCCTGTGCTAATTCCAGAATGATTTCTATCACAATTTTAATTGCCCGTGCAGTGATTGCCTTTATCAGTCCAGGGCTCTGAGCTGATGGGTGGATTCCAGCATCTCCTCTCCTGTCTCCAGGGGTTGCTCTGCCTTGTTTTGTTTCTCACTGGTGTTTTTCTGGCTGTGGAACTGAGGTTGGTGGGAGGGAGGTGGAAATCTGTCTCAATCCTTGCTGTGTGCCATGGGGAACACCTGAACAGAGGGCCCAGAGGTGTGATAACCCCCAGACATTTTTGGTGATGGAAATCAGCCTGCCAGCAATTTAGGAATGTTTATCTTTGTGCCAAAATCGTCAGTACCGTAACAGTTATTTTTATGTCTCTTGCCTTCTCTTTTAATGAGACTGAAATTTACTACAGATGCTGCTGCTTTTTTCCAGGCAGCTTCCCAGGGAGCAGCAGGAGCCAGCCCATATGTTTGTGGCACCCAAGACAGCACTTGTTCTCACTCTATCTGGTTATTTATGCCTGGTTTTGAAGGCCTCAGGTCCTCTTCTACACCAGGCTAGAAATGAAAGCTATTAATGCATCCTGTGGGCTCACTCTGCCTCTGCTCAGGGCTGTAATTGTGCCCCAGCAGCCCCAGTGGTGTCTGAGGTGCTGCTGTGCTCAGTTCACAGGTTGCTCACCTACATCTTCATCTACGAGGACCTGGCCTCCCTGGCCTGTGGTGCTGTGATCACCTGGTACTTCGCTGGCAGCTTTGAGAAGAACGTGGGCACAGTGAAGCACTGCGTCCTCACCGCCGCCTTCTCCGTGCTCTCTGCCCTCCTCTTCCTCCTCCTCCAGCCCCTGGTCTCCAGGCTGCTGGAAGTGGGGGATGCCAAAGGCTTCCTGCCAGTGGCTTTTGCCATGCTGGGTGTTTCCACCACGCGCTCACGCCTGAGGAGGACTCTGCTCTTTGGCTGCAGAGTTCCTGTGCTGCTGGTGCCCTGGCTGGGGCTCTGCCTGGCCTGGTTTGTCCCCCACTCCTCCCTCCTGGGGAACCTGTGTGGGCTCCTGGTTGGGGAGGCCTGTATCCTTTCTGAGAGGGAAGGCCTGGGCCACAGAGGGATCCTGGTGGGAAGGAAGGGCTGTACTTCTCCTTGCTGCCTTTCCCTGGACTCTTGTCCTGCCCTGAACCTCACTGGCTTTTCTCAAGCTCATCCCATCCCATCCTGCATTTGTGTTTCACCCCACACTGCCCCTGCCTGCAGGGGGGATGGTCTCTGAGGGTGGTGCTGGGTAGGGCTGGAGAATTCTCCAGAGAAAGTGGTTTGGGAACAGAGGGGACCCTGTGGCTGTGTCAGAAATGAGTGTGTTGTCCTCAGCTGTCCTTAACAAGCTGGTTTCAGATGGTCTTGGCTACTGTTTCTGCTTGGATTTTCCAGAGTCTGTGGGCTCTAAGCTGGACCGGGTGTTCCCTTTCACTCTGCTGAGGAGGATTCCAGGGCTGAAATACATCCCAGGCTCCTCAGCAGAGAGAAGAGCCTCTGCAAACAGCATGTAAGTACAGGAGTTCTGTGAAACATCTTGTAGGGGAATTTTGAGGTGTGACTAGAGGCCTGAGATCACCTCTGAAAGCTGTGTTGTGCCTCTCCTGTTCACATCGTGGGTGCCATGGGGAGCAGAGCCACCCACTGATGTTGCATTGGGGACATTAGTGTGACTAATGACTCCCCACCCATTAACTGAACCAGGTTTTTAGTGAAATGGGGGTTACAGAGCTCTCCTTTGCTGCATGTGCACATGGGAATACTGCAGCTCTGGCTGAGTTGTGTAACTGCCCCAGCTTCAGGCAGCTGTTCCTGGCTCTGTGGCTCCCTGGGCCATCATCCTTATCTTTATTTGCCCCACCTTTCCTGCCAGGAATGCTGTGAAGTGAGTTGTGTCCAAACCTACTTAGGACCAGAGCATTGTAAATTAAGGATGGCACTTACAAAGTTCAGTGCAGACCTTTTGGTGTCTTTTAACCTTTCAGCAGCTTTTCAGTGTCAAGGCAATGTTGCTTTACAGAAAAGAAACCTTGGGGCCCACAGCTGATGTGCAGGAAAGGTTTTAAGTTTAACACAAACCATGAGAATTCACTTGTACTCTAAAAAGCTTCAAAATGCAGGTCAAATATTTACTTATTCTAAGGTGTCCTTTGAGTTTCACAGAGAAAAAATAGTTTTCTATTCAGGGTTACATTCTGTGTATTGTTTAAGCCATCAGCTTGCTGTAAAGTTTTATTTGAAGTGGAAGCATTCCCAGGTGTTTGCACTGCCCTCACCCATGGGAAGCCATAAAAGCAACTCTTGTCTCAGCAGGAGTGTCCATCAGGACACTCAAAACGTGTGAGTGCTTGCAGGGGAGGCCAGGCCGACCCAGAATTTGTGTTTTCCCTCCCTCCCTCCTGTGCAAGAGCAGCTTTTGGGAGCAGAGGGAGCCTGGCTCCGTGCTGAGCCTGTGTCAGCAGCAGTCCCATCCTGCTGTGCACAGCACCTCAGTGCCTCAGCCTGCCTCCTTGGGTGAGGTGACACACACGGTTGTGACACAAAGCTATTTACATGAACATTTGACTATCAAGCAGGGCGTGGGAAGGTGTTTCTAGGATGCTTCCACTGCTGCAGCTGAATTTGCATGTCTGTGTCTTAGATACAACTTCTGTAAGTGCTTCTGGAGTTTAATTTTTTATTATTTTGATGCTTATTTCCAAGCAAGAGCTCTTAATAGTTTGGGATTTGTTTTAATTTTAAATTTTCATAAGGTTCAGGCATTAAAAGGCTGCAAATCAGGAGATATTTCTTTGAAGTCCAGGCCTTGGCATCATGTTTATGTCCACAAATTTAAAAAAAAAATCCAAACTCAAACCCACACCTCAAATAATTAAGAAGAAATCTCCAAGCCTGAAAATCCCAGCATGAGCCAGTCTCTTCTCCTTGCTGGGAACTTGGCACTCATGGCTTCATGAATATTGCCTGGATTCTCAGCTCCCATCCTCGTGTGCGTGGGCTGAGCAGCACTCCTGAAGTGCCAGAGGCTGAGGCTTCCAGGCAGATTGCCTCTCTCCTGATAGGTTTTGGCAGGATGAGTCATGCCTTCTGCTGGCAAAACTTCCTAGCCCTTGCTTCTGAATGATTAATTTTATTTCTAACTCTCTCTTTTATTTCTAACTCTTTCCTCCTTCCTTTTTTTTCCCCTTTGCTCTGTACTCTGGGCTCTTCCTCGCACCAAAGGCTTTTGTGTTTTCTTGATAAATAACAAGGCAGTTGTAACATCTCCTGATTAATGACTGTGCAGATGTGTCACTCTCAGGGCAGGGAGGATGTGCACAGGGATCTCAAAGCATGTTGAAATTTGGCTTTGTGTACTCCTTGCACAAAGAGTCTGGGGCCAAAAGCCACGCTCGTTCAGTGGGTGTGGAGTGAGAGTGGGAACAGCTGTCCTGGGAGGCCACTAAAGCCATTTTTTACTCAAGTGCTACTTATAATAAGAGCTTCTGTGGTAGTGAATCCCTCTGATGGATTGCAGTGATGACCTCTCTGAGCCCTGGTCAGGAGGAAATCTGCCCCCAGGGCATTTCCAGCGCTAATTAGGCAATGTCAGTTGTGAGCACAGTGTAACCCTCTGTTTTCTCCCTGCCCAGGATTAAGGCTGTGCCTGGCACTTACCCCACCCAGAGCCACCACTGCCCTTCGCCTCCGGCTCTTCCTGCTGGCCCCAGGGCTCAGAGCCAGGGCTTTCATCACAGCCACGCTCTGGGACACCACCAGGGACACCTGGCACCTCAGCAGGGCCCTGCTGCAGGACACAGCCTCAGCTCTTCCCTCTGCCAGGCCAGAGGTGCCTTTGGAGAGTGCCCTGGGCAGGCCCAGGCTGGAGCCTCACCAGGACAGTGCTGCCAGCTGGGCAGATTGTCTGTGCCACAGCGTGTGTGCCCGCCTCAGGCACAGCCACCCACAGCCACGGGCCTTCTGGCTGCTGCTCAGCAAGCTCCAGGGTGTCCAGCAGCCCCAGTGACCCCTGCTGCAGCTGAATTTACCAGAGTCCAGGTGTACTGATCCTCCAGAGAGCAGCAGGGCTCAGCAGGGGCAGGGCTGCTGTGTGAGCTTGCAGTGCATTGCTGGATCTGTGCTGTGCCTGGGTGAGTGTTGGTACCTCCAGTGAAGGCCAGTCCCCTGCTTCCTGGCACAGTCTACTTGAATTATATTTCCTGGAGGATGGGAACTGTATCACCTCTGAACTTCTCATCCTTTTTCTTCTTTGCTGCATTTGGCAGCTGCCTTTTTCCACAAGTCCACTGGAGTTCCAGTGCAGCAGCCCCCCAGGCCAAGGCAGGAACCTTAGTGGCAAAACACTGAGCAGATCTGGGGTTTAGCTAAGCTGCAGCAATAAGCACTTCCCATTTACATTCCTGTCTTTTTTTACAGGTGTGATGTAGCTAGAGCCCAAAAGAGTGGGAATCATATGAGCCTTAGTTTGTAACCTAAAATTAAATGGAGGAGGACAATGTCTGTTTGTACTGGTGACTTGTCCACTTGAGAGAGTGCTTTGAAGGGGGCTTGTTACACCAGCCTGGGGCAAGAGGATAGAATACAGAGTGCCTTCTGCTCCAAAACACAGCTCTAGATGCTGAAGGTCCTATGCCTGCATCCATGGATTGCCTTAATTTTTTGAGAGCATTGCACCAGCTCAGCCTGTAGCACCAGCACCTGGCAACCTCAGATGCCTGTGAAGTAGTGAGGGACTTTTCAGTGAGGGATTTTGGCCCTTTGTGGAGCAAGTATTTATAAATCCAAGGAGCTGGGAGGGACCTTAACAATGGGTTAGAAGAATTAAGTGGAATGTAGCAGTGCTGCTGGGGGTGTTCACACTGCTCAGCTTTAGAAATCTCACCCACCAATATTAGCACAATCTCTCTTTTTTCAGAGTTGTGGGCAGGTGTGTGGGAGAGGGGAGTTTTCAGCCAGGGATTTACAATAGGATTCACTGTTTGGTGCCTGAGGCTGTAATGAAGGAGTTTGTCCAGTTGCTGGGATTTGAGCTTTATTCCCAGTTATGTAGCCCACTGTACAGTGCCCAGGAGGAATCTGCTGTCTCAGTGTCTGTAAATCAGCCAGGATCTCAACAATTGCCCTTGACTCTACTGGGAGTCTTGCTGTGCTCCATGAAAAAGTGCTCCATGAAGCACAAAGTGCCATTCCTGCTCCTGGAGGTGTCCTTGCAGTGCCTCACCCATCCCCAGAAGCTCAACAGCCTCGGGGCTCCTCCCTGCTCTCCGTGAGCCTGGCCAGAGGCAGCTCTGGCACATCCCAAACCACATCCCTGCCTCTTTCAATTTTCCATATCAGGGTGTGAACAAACCCTGTGTTGTCATCCAGCTGCTTTACTTCTCCAGCAGCCCCTCTGGAATGACTGCCACGGTCCCATGTGGGATGCAGGGGCTTCCTTCTGGAGGAGACCAAAGGCAGTGCTGAGGACTGCACCTCACAGTAAGACATGAGTAAGATGCTCTTCTTGTGAGGGTGAGCACCCCAGGCAGGGCTTTCAGCAGGAGGATGCAGCAGCTTGGGAACCAACTTGGATTTGGGGGACAGCTCTGTTTCATACCCGATCATTTCCTCTGTGGGATCACAAAAATATTTAATTTCATGATCCTGTTTTTCCTGCTGACAGCAATTGCATTTTTATACTTTTAGTGTGGATTAAGAGCAGGATAAGGAGCTTGTTTGGAATTCAAAAGCATGTTTTTAATACCAGGAAAGAAATGCTAGAGATAACATTGAAATGTTGACACTCCACTCCTGTTAGTGCCTTGATTTTCCCTCCTTATGAAATCCTTGCCTGTAAACTTGGGAATTTTACCACTGATTTTTTCCAGAAGGGTGATGAGGATCAACAGCAATCACAAATGTTGTGTGTCTCCAAACTGTAAACTTGAAATAGAATCTGAAAGACAGACTGGTTTTCTCTGGGTTTGTTTATGAGTGGGGAGCTGGAGCGTGCCCCTCCGGGGGATGGGTGGGGTGGGATCTGTGGGGTGGGATCAGTGGGATTGGTTCTGTGGATGGGATCAGTGGGATAGGATCGGTGGGGTGGGATTGGTGGGGTGGATTCTGTGGGGTGGGATCCCTGGGGTGGGATCAGTGGGATGGGATCAGTGGGATAGGATCGGTGGGGTGGATTCTGTGGGGTGGGATCAGTGGTATGGGATCAGTGGGGCAGGATTAGTGGGGTGGGATCAGTGGGATCAGTGGGGCAGGAGCAGTGGGATGGGATCAGTGGGATCCCTGGGGTGGGATCAGTGGGGCAGGATCCCTGGGGTGGGATCAGGGGGATCAGTGGGGCAGGAGCAGTGGGATGGGATCAGTGGGATGGGATCAGTGGGATCCCTGGGGCAGGATCAGTGGGATCAGTGGGATGGGATCAGTGGATCCCTGGGGCGGGATCAGTGGGATGGGATCAGTGGGATCAGTGGGGCAGGAGCAGTGGGATGGGATCAGTGGGATCCCTGGGGCAGGATCAGTGGGATCAGTGGGATGGGATCAGTGGATCCCTGGGGTGGGATCACTGGGGCGGGATCCGTGGGATCCCTGGGATGGGATCAGTGGGGTGGGATCAGTGGATCCCTGGGGCAGGATGGGCACAGCTGTGTCAGGCCGGTGGCTTTGGCCGCGCGCTGAGGACGAGCGCTGGGGACACGCGGTACTGCAGGCTGGGAAACGCTGGCATCCACTTCTTGTTCCTTGTCCATGGGTCGCTCTCCCGCAGAGCTGTCAGAGGGATGGGTGTTTCCAGGAGCACTTTCCTGGCTTTACTTCCAGGAAGGCACCGCGGGAACAGCCCCAGTCCCAGCTGGTGCAGACCTCCCTCCAGGAGGGGAGGAGCAGGTCCAGCCACGACCCTTTCTGTGCTGGGACAAGACAACTGCCACAGCCTTCCAGGTGAGCCCTGAGGACCAGACTGAGCACAAAAACCTGGGCTGGATTTTTTTTCTTTCTGCTGCCAGATCTTTTGGGAGCTTCTCGGTGGCCATGGCAGATCACTTGGTCTCTGATTCTACAGCTTCCACCGTGTCCCCAGCAGTGTTCCGAGTCCAGCTGCACCTCCTGGTCTTGTGCAATATGTCAGACCTCTCTTCAGTGTCCTTCAGATGCATGTTTGTGGAGATTTCTTTTCTGTTCCCTGCTTTTCTGAGGGCATCCATTCCGCAGTGAGAGGCTCTTGGAGAGTGGCGTCCAACAAGTGCCAGTTCCTCAGGGCTGGGGGGGAATTCAGAACTCATCACCCAGAGAAGTGAAGTTGCCGAGAGGGAGGAAACAGGTTGGGATGAGAATTTACAAACGTGTCTAAGGCTGAGAAGGGATTTACATTTGGAAGAGAGGGAGGTAAAAGTCATCAGCTCACTGGGCTTTGGCATCTGTCTAAGCTCAAGTAATGTTACTCATCACACATTGCAGTACCCACTCATTTCCTTGGTGGGGCAGTGGAGAATTGAAGTTCCTAAAGCAGGGGGAAAAAAAAAAAAGAAGAAAATAAAAAAAAAAAATCAATAACCTCCCAGTTCAGGCTGGGATGGCTGCCCCTGGGGTGACTGCCCTGGGAACGTGCTGTCCCTGGGGGTTTGTTATTCTGTGCCTCTGGCTCATTCCTAGTAAAACTGCCACTTCATTCCCTGCCAGGATTGTGTTTGTCCACAGGGTGTGCAGAGAGTCCAGAAAGCCCCTTGGGCTGCCCCCGTGTCCTCAGAGGGTCACTGCAGGGTGACAGTCTGGGGACAGTGCTGGGAGCAGAGCCAGCTGCTCCCTGTCCTTGGAGTAGCTGTCCTGCCATGGGAAGGATGCTCTGGAAGTCCAAGTCCATCCCCTCTGCATGGTGCAAGGGAAGAGGAGTCAGGGACACACGAGGAAAGCAGCACTGGCTTGGCCTCCATTGCTGCCCCATGCAGGAGTGAGAGGGGACCCGCCAAGTGGGGAGGCTGGCAGGGACACTGATGCTGGAAGAGAAGAGGTTTGTGTTTCTTTGCTTGCCTGGCATTAACTTTTGGCCAAGCACACCCTTGCAGACATCCTGACCGAGGGCCAGGCTCCCTGTGCCAGGGCCAGGACACTGCCAAACACCACCTCCATGGCTGCTCCGTGGTGTCCCCTGTTGTTTGCTGGCACTGTGAGGGCTCTGTGGCCAAAAGTTCAGCCTCCAACTGTGCTGGGGACAGAGGAGAGCTGGAGAGGTGGGAGAAATAAAGAGACAAAGCCCTGACCAAAGAGGTGTCTGTGGGCTGCAGGACTCTGCTGCCTGCCCCGGGGGGGTTTGGGCTGGGTGTGATGAGCCCCCAGCCCCTTCCCTGTGGGGACAGGATGGGACAGGCTGTGCCGTAATGCAGGTCCAGGCACCTGATGGGATGAGCCCAGCCGTGGACCTGCTCAGTCCTGCCATCCCCTCAGGGCCACTGGGATCTTTAAGGTGTCCATTCACCCCACGGGGCATGGTCACAGACCAGGGAGCTCCCACGGGCTCAGTCCCAAAGCTGATGTCAGTGGCACCAGTGCTCGGGTGACCTGCCAGCCCTCGACCCTCTGCTCAGCTGCTGTCAGGAAACAGGCTGTCCCTGCAGTTCCTGGGGTCCGTGCCCCCTCCTCACACCTCTTCAGTGCCTGCCAGGCCCAGCTCGAACTTTGCACCTTCCCCAGGTCTTTTATTGACTCTGGAGCGAGCGTCAACACAGCGCTGGCGTCAGGATGGTGACTTTGGATGTGCCAGTGCCAGCAGGCAAAGGGAGGGGACCCAGCCCGGGGTGACCCCCACAGCTGTGGGGCTGCTCATGGGGTCAGGGCAAGCTGTGCCTCTGGCTTTGGCCAGGCTGGAAACAGCAGGGCTGTAACCCAGCTTCCCTCCCCAAAAAAAGCCAGCAGGGAGGAGAGCAGCAGCCCCTGCAGGAGCCAAGGTCTGGGTTGTGAAATGTTCCACTGGGACTGCTGGGGATGTTCCAGAGCTGCTTGAGCAACTTCCTGGTGTGGCAGCGAGCAAAAGACCACCCCAAAACACCCGAATCAGCTGGGCTGTGGTTAAATCAGGAGCACGTGCTCGCCCCGGGTGAAGCAACCCCTGGCTGCCACGGAGGATGGCAGAGACTGGGTGCCAGCCTCCACTGCAGGGTCCCCTTGTCCCCCACGGGGCAATGACCGGGGGGAACTGGGGGTCCCACACCATGGGGGAACTGGGGGTCCCACACCATGGGCACCCAGGAGCGCCCACAGACAGGGTCCTGGCTCAGCCCAGAGTTAGTGTCCAACACTGACCTCAGCACGCTGGCCCCAGTTCATGGCCCCAGTTCATGGCCCCAGACACGACTCCACAGTGCCCCAAGCCCTGCTCCCACTGTCACCCCAACTCTGACCCTGCCGTGACCCCAACGCTCACCCCCGAACTACAATGTTCATCCCATTGAACATGGGTGAACATTGAGCCTCCTCTCTCGAGCCTGCACCCAGACCGAGCCCTGCCTGCACCCACTGTGGCTCTGGGCCCTGTTCTGCACCCTGACCCCACCCGTGACCCCACAACCCTGACCGACCCCTGAACCCACCCGTGACCACCCCATGCCCCAATCCTCACCGACCCCTGACACACCCGTGACCACCCCAATCCTCACCGACCCCTGACACACCCGTGGCCACCCCAATTCTGACCGACCCTGACCCCCCACCCCGTGACCATGCAACCCTGGCCGACCCTGAACCCACCTGGGACCATCCCATGACCCAACCCTGAACCCACTTGTGACCCCCCCAACCCTGCCCAAGCCTGAACCCACCCGTGACCACCCCATGCCCCAGCCCTGACCGACCCCTGACCCACCCATGACCACCCCATGACCCAACCCTGACCCCACCCGTGACCACCCCAACCCTGACCAACCCTGAACCCACCTGGGACCATCCCATGACCCAACCCTGAACCCACTTGTGACCACCCCAATCCTCACTGACCCTGACCCCACCCGTGACCACCCCAATTCTGACCGCCCCTCACGCCGCTCCTGTCCCTTTAAGACCCCCGTCCTGGGGCTGTACCATGCGCCGCCGCAGAGGGGTGATCTCCACAAACAGGCGCGCTCGCCGCCTATTGGCGGGCGGCGAGGGTGGAGCGTGTTCCCCCGCGCGTGTGCGCGGGTGGTGCGGTCCGCTGTACGTGCCGGCCGCGCCGGGGCCGCGGGCGCCGCCAGCGCCAGACGGGCCGGAGCGGCGGTGGGTGCGGGGAGCCGCGGGAGCGCGGGCTTGCGGCTGAGGGGGGCGCGGCACCGGGGGCTTCTGGGGCTGAGCGCCGCCGCCGAGGCCCTCTGTGCTGGGGAGGGGCGGTCCGGTATCCCCCGGTGGGGTTGGCGTGGGGGCTCTTTCTGTGTCGGGGGGGCTGGCTGCGTGCCTGGGGTGCCCTGCGCGGGGAGCGAGCGGCACCGCTGTGTGGCGGGAGATGGATGTGAATGGATCTCTTCTGGGGGACTGGGGTGAGCAGAGCCCCCTGTTCCCTGAGGTGTGGTGTGAGTGGGCATCCTGTTAGTGGGGTTACTGAGGCGTTTAAAGATCCTTCTTGCTGGGGGGTCGGGGAGGGCTGGGTGACCCCTCTAATCTGGGCAGTGTGCTGTGGCTGTCCCTCTCTTATTTTGGGGGACCGGGATGGCCAGAGCTCCTGTTACCTGGGGAGTCTGATTGACTGCTCCCCTGTTCCCTGCTGGAATTGAATGACCAGAGCCCCTCTTATTTGGGAATACCTGGTGATGCTGAGCTCCTGTTATTGAGGAGACTGGTGTGACTGGCGTGCCCTGTGTGGAGGGCTGGCATGTGCAAACCCCCTGTTCTTGGGGGGGACCGGGATGGGCAGAGCTCCTGTTACCTGGGGAGTCTGATGTGACTGGTTACCTGTTGGAATTGGGATGACCAGAGCCCCTCTTATTTGGGACCA